TATAACAAGTACAACACACCTTATGATAGTTTATAACAAGTACAACACACCTTATGATAGTTTATAACAAATACAACATACCTTATGATAGTTTATAACAAGTACAACATACCTTATGATAGTTTATAACAAATACAACACACCTTATGATAGTTTATAACAAGTACAACACACCTTATGATAGTTTATAACAAATACAACATACCTTATGATAGTTTATAACAAATACAACATACCTTATGATAGTTTATAACAAATACAACATACCTTATGATAGTTTATAACAAATACAACATACCTTATGATAGTTTATAACAAATACAACATACCCCCTGATGGTTTATAACAAATACAACATACCTTATGATAGTTTATAACAAATACAACATACCCCCTGATGGTTTATAACAAACGTAATATATTCTATTGTGTCTATGGGGTTTTGAGTTCATATTACTTCTCCATATAGTAACCTAAATTAATTTAGGTATGTAAATAATGTTATGACATTTCATCAGATTCAATATTAATACAGGAGACCCAAGCTGTGCTGATGAGCCTTGAATAGGCAAAACTGCAGTCTACAGCATAAGGTACAGCAAATCAAAGAATGCATTAAGCCTCTATCTCACAGACTGTCTTTTAAATTTCACCTCAGGTGAAAAAGAAATCTTTAACATATATTAAACAGTTGGTCTGCTGTATAATATTGAATAATGAAATGTTGTAAAATTATTCACATAATTTAAATAACTTGTGTTACTATATGGTGAAGTAAAATTGACTCAAAACTCCATAGACAATATTATCACTTCATTATTGTAAGAGGCCTGATGGTATTTCTTAGGTTTGCTGATTCAAGATGTGCTGATTAGCCTTAAAAAGGCAAAACCATAGTCCACAGCAGAGCGTATGGCCAATCAAGGAATGCATTAGGCCTATATGTTACAGATTGTCTTTTCAATTTCACCCCTGGTGGAAAAGAAATCTTTAATATATATATATATGT